CTCACCCACTTGTGTGCTAGCCAGTATTGGAGAGTGGGGTAGGGAATTGAAGAGCACACTCCTCCATCTACTGGTGTAAAATCCTTGGGGGTAGGCCATGAAAAGAATATGTAGTTGCCAGCTGTTGGGTGCCACATTCTAGGAATGACCCAAATTTCAAAAGCCTTGATTTGTTATTCTAATACTTTCTAGATTCATAAAGCTCCTTGTATTAATTTGATAATTCTTAATAACTCCTGATTGTAGATTTTAGTATTTCTGCCATAGTTTTGTCAATTTCAACCTCTTTTATAAGATCACAGGCCACTTCATTATTTTGAGGGTCACTTGGGATACATGCAAATGTCTAGTTGACACTGTCTTCTTGGTGACATCATCTAATGATGAAGTGACCAGTTTTGCTTCTAGAAATGACTTGAGACTTTTTCTTGAAGCTAGGGGGCTTTGTGACCTTTCTCTGGTAGGAGGTTACAAAATGATACATCTATTCCCTTGTTTTTAGGTTTCCCACATCTAGGCATTTGTATGTACTGTGTATACGGTTTTTAACACTGGCTTTTGTTTTAAAGATTTTTATTTATGTTGTGTGTGTATGCCACATGACATCAGAAGAGGGTGTCAGATACTCTGAACCCAGAATTACAGTGGTTGTGAGCTCTCTGGCATGGATGCTGGGAACCAAACTCAGGTCCTCCAGAAGAGCAGCAAGCACTCTTACCCATTGAGCCATCTCTCCAGCCCTTGTTTTAAGCCTATTCCAGAGCTCATAATCATATGTATTACAGGTTGATCTCAAATTTGACAGAAATCTACCTGCCTCTGTTTCCCAAGTGCTGGGATTACAGGAGTGTGCTCCCACGCCCAGATCAGCCTAACGTTTTCCCATAAAAATCTCTATTGACACCAAGGTCCTTCCTTCCTTCTTGTGTAATCTTCGTCTTGACTTCTCCATTCTTTTTTTCTCCTCTTACCTTCTTTTTGACCATGTGCTCCCTCTACCCTCACTGCCCATTTTTTTCAGACATACCTGTGAGAGATCATTTAGCCTCTATGGATGCATCTGAGGAATTATACTGACTAGTTTACTGAGGTTGGAAGACTCATCCTAACGATAACAGCACCATTACCTAGGCTGAGGTCCTGAACTGTATGAAACGGAGGGTGAGCAGCAGACCATTGGCATCCTTTGCTCTCTGCTTCCAGGATATGGACGTCATGTGACCAGCTGCTCCCAGCCCCTGACACCCTGACTTCCCTACTATGATGGACAGTACCCTTGAACTGTGAGTCAAAATAAACCCTTTCTCCACTATGTTGTTACAGGAAGAGAACTAAGGTTCAGAGAAAACAGAAGAAACATCTCCTTGTGCTACTGGCAGAGAGGAGAAAGGCTACCACCTTGAAATAAGCCCCAGCTTAGTCTCTGAAACAAAAGCTTGCCTCCAAGAGCAAGGTGTTACTGGGGACTTTTTAACCAGAATATCATTAGATAGCCCCAGCTCTTTCCAGTCTCCTCCATGAAAAGAAGACGATAGTATATGGCCATGCTATCGTGAACATGGTCAATCTCATCTAATCTTGGAAGACAAGCAGGACCAGGCCTGCTTAGTGCTAGGATAAGAGGGAAGGGAATGCTTATGTCAGAGCCCAGGTCTCAACAACTACAAGTCTGAGATTTTACAGGAAGATTATCAAGAGTCCAAAGATTACAGAGATGCAAAACCCAAAACAAGAGAAAGGGAAGGAGAGGGAGAGACAGAGAAACAAAGAGAGAACAAATCAATATATCTTCTTGAACCGACAATGAAATATTTACCATGACAGGCCATCTGAACCTCAAGACATAGCTCAGCAAATAACAGAAATAACACAAACTCTTGAATAAAAACAAAACAAAAAACAAAGCAAAAAAACCCAAAACGTAACTAAATTAGAAACCAGCTGGGAATCTCTCATGGGCCAAAGAAATCTCAAGAAAAATTAAGGTTATTTTTTCTTTTTCTTTTTCTGAGAGATGGAGAGGGGGAGGTCAGAGGACAACCTCGGGTGTCTGTCCCCACCTTCCATCTTGTTTGAGATGTCTCATTTGATGCTGCATAAGCAAGACTAGTTCAGCTAGCTTGAAAGCATCTGGAATTCTCCAATGAGGACCAAAGACCAGTGGCTCTCCAGGAACCCTACAGGCATTTGGTGCTAGATTAGGGAGGCGGAGGCACTCAGCTTCAGGGACTATTGGGTTCTCGGCCTCTCTGGTGTGAGACAACTACTGCTGGACTACTCCAGTTCTAGCATGTAAGCCAATCTAATGGATTCCCTTTGAATATGGACTCAATGCTATTGGATCTGTGACTGTGGAGAACCCTAATACAAATGGACTACACAGCTAGAGCGAGACCAATGTATGTATCCATCATGGTGACCACCAAGTTTGTATTGACAAATTTGTAGATCACTTTCTTGAGCTTCCTTTTTTCTGACACACTATCCCAAGAGTCTCTGGTCCCCCTGCAACCCTGACGATAAATCTCTGCCTCATGTCACATCCACATCTAAGCACCAATAGAAAGAAACAATGAAATAAAGTGATAAAGACCTTGCTGACCACTGTTGGTTCACGGTTCCCCTGGCCAGAGAGAGGGGTCAGAGTTCAAAGATGTGATTGGCCTCTTCAGCCACCACTATACTCCACAGAAATGCCCAGAATGCCAGATGTTTTATTTCATGTGTTTCCTTCCTTAATCTGCTGCCATTACTTTTCAAGGCATCTTAACAGCTGGCCTGGGTGTTAGCTGCATTCAGTGAGAGAGATGGCAGAGTGTACTTACTCCATTTAAAGGGAAGCCAAATCCACTACTTCTACTGATTACAAACATGTCCATGGAAGATGAACTGTCAAACCTAGGCTTCTTTGATAAGAGAGGAGGATTCTGAACAGAAACCTCACATTCATCACTTTATACCATCACTTTTTTGCCTCAATTTTTATTATATTTAAACATACATAGACAAGTTTAAAGGTGAGCAATGAGAAATTCTATATCCACCACAAAGATTCAACAATCACTGACCAATTCTACAGTTTCAATTTAAAATATGCTGCAGACATTATGACTTGTCAACTTAAAACTTTTGCATGCACGTGACAGGGAAATATAAACTCAATATCTATTCTAAGAAAAATAAGCATACCACATTATCCAATACCTAGTCTCATCTTTATATTTCCCTAAACATCCCCCAAATGTCTTTTACAGTTTCATTCCTGACTATATTTCTCAATAAAGAGTTACACTTTGCATGTGGCTGTCTCAGGTGTCTTGGAAAAAAAAAGTTCATGTTTTGTTCTAAAATGTTGACTATTTAAAAAGTACAATTCAATGATCATTTCTGATGTCTCAAACTATATTACTGTATAATCTAACTTGTTACCCTCAATTCTTTGTAAATAGGAAGGGAAGTCCAGATAAGAGATTTCTGTAGACTTTCACTAACTGGTTTTGGCAGTGTGTCATAAATAATAGTGTGTTTCTAAGGCCTTGGCAGAAACCTCAACGGCTGTTGCTCACATGCAGGGGACTCTACTTGCCAGAGCTCAATATGAAAGCAGGTGCTTCTTCTGCAACTAACAGCTGTGCTCTTTGGGGTTAAGCAATGTTTCTTAATTTTTTTTTATGTAGTAGGTTTACCATCAATCATTTTTTTACAAGATTTAATGACAATGACAGTTACTAAACAATTTTTTCTAAGCTTATTGTTTGTGTGCATATTTAAAGATGGCTTTCTTCAAATAATTTTATAAACTTTTTTTCCATAACCTTTGGAAGATATTACATCCAAGCCCGTCATGAGTATGATGTTTGAAGTATCCTAAGTTTGACCAAAGGATGCACCTTCACGTTAGTCCCCATGTCCATCTATATTATATTAGTAATTCTAAAATGATGTTTTATCATAAGAATACACTCTAGGTACATTTATATTCCCTCTGAACCAAACATGCAACCAGTCTTTTTTTCAAGGAGTCCTGAGTCCTTTTGATGGTGAATAGCATTTGCAAACCAGAAAGTGGGCACTGAGCATGCACATGGCCACCAGGGACATAAGAAAGTCTGAGGTTCATTTGAAGCCTTATTTTTTCTACAAATACACGTAAACACATAAAACTACTCTGATGAGCCAAAAGAAGTAAATCAAGAAACATATTATGCTGAATGCCTGCTTAATTCTAATTCTTTCCTCAAACAGAAGGGTCTAATTAATGTTTAGAGTAATTTCTAAAATGACAAACCAATTGGGTAAGGAAAAAGGACTAGGGGAGATTTAAAATATTAAGATGATGAATAGATTGTTTAATATAAAATATTCATCTATAACTTTATACTTAAATCCTAAGGGCTGGAGAAATAGCTCAGCAGTAGAGCACCTCCTAAGCATGAACAAGGCCCTGGATTCAGTCGTCAGCACTATGAAGAAAAAAAGAGTATTAGAAGTTGTATAATAAAAAGGCAGCCTTACATGGAAGCATACCAAAGCAATACCACTATCTGGACCTTCGTTGGCTTTGAGAATTTAAGTAGTTATTATAGAAGCAGGTATAATCAGAGACAGAAGAAAAGGAGGTATGTTCTCAACTCTACTACTAAGACCAAAGCTAGAGGAAACTCCAAAGATAAATGATTATATCACTAGCATTAACATTTGAACAGGTTACAAAACAAATAGTGTTCTTGAGCCTTGAGGATAGAAATGAACCTGTTACTACCATAGATTATCAGAGCTGAAGACCTCGATTCTTGAAAGGTTATAAATTAAAATCCCTCCTGGTCCTATTGTGCTACCAGATTCATAGCAAGAGATTCTGTCAACATCAGCCTTCTGCAACATATAATATACTGCTTGGATGACAATCTGCCTACCTGTGTCTGCTCAGGCCAACTTCTACAGTACTGTGACTATTCAGCTATACAAAACCAGATCCACTACAAACACAGGCAAGCAAATGAAAGTTTCCCTTTGGGGAAGTATTTAATTTGAAAAAGTAAATTCTAAGTTAGTAAACAGAGTATACACATTGGCACACACATCTACCCCTGTATATGAGAGTATGTGCATGCAGCCATTTGCCTATGATGATGTTTTGGTCAATGATAGACAACATATATCACAGTGGTCTCATTAGACTATAACTGGCCTGGAAAATTCCCACTTGTCTAATGACATCAGAGCTGTCATGACTTTATAACCATCATAACACCTTAGGCACAATTCAATACTCACTTGTGCAAATAAACCTGCTGTGCTGGCAGCCAGATGACATTGCAGCACACACAACTATGTACAGTACATGACATATGATGATGGTGACAAACTATATTACTAATTTATTCACTTGCTATACTATATTTTTATCTATATTTTAGAGTGTACACATCCTATTAATAAAATTTACACCAAGCATGATGGCTCATGACTGCAATCCCAGTATGTGGGAAGTTGATGCAATAAGACTACAAGTTCAAAGTCAGTCTGAGCTATATAATGAGATCAAGGCCATCCTAGGCTACATAGTGAGACCCTATCTAAAATAAACTAGCAAATCAATAAAAAATACTATAAAAGTATGGATATATGCATATGGAAAAAGAGAAAGGAAAAATGTAATTAAATTATAATCTCAATTTTTTTAAAAGTATGGTATGTTAATCACCTCAAGAGATCATGCTGATTAGCTGACCCAGACCATCTAGGGTTGTGCAAGTACAATGATGCTTCTATAAAGACGAAACTGCCTAATGGAGCATTTCCAAACTGTATCCTCACTATTAAATGACATGACCATAAATACATAAAATCATATATGTGTATATATGAATATATATGCATACATACAAACATGTATGCTGTATAAGGGGCACTTCATAAAGAGTTCTATTGTTGATAAACAACAAATTATTCTCTTCCTCTGCAGTGGCTCTTTATGAAAACGAGTTCTCCCTAGACCAGCTCACCGTTTTAGGGACTGAGGCCCCACAATTCTTCATATTATCAACTATTTCAGAGACCATCTTGAAAAGAAAAGTCATGAAACAATGTTTATATGAAACAGTTACTCATGTGTTTTGTTTTTAAATGAGGCCTTCATACTTTTTCTATGAATTTAAAAAATGATATTCAATTTTTTTTGTAATAAATCTTAAATGGTTGCCATCACCATTCTTGGTATTTTCACTGTTCAACTGCATATGATTTAGTAGTAAGTATTTGTTGTAAAGTAAAAAAGTTGAAATCTATTTGGATTTGTACTCTAGTTACTCTTCTGGCTGCTGTCTTGGATTAGAGGGATGAATTAAAATCCTCGGGCTTGTCTCCTCTCAGAAATTTCTGATACGGAGTAAGGGATGATCCATAGATAAAAGGTGCTCCATATTCTTTCCATTTATAGAGCCTTTCTTTAAGGTGAACCTTTTTGTGTCTACAAAGGTTTGACCTATAACTATAGGCCTTCCCACACTCCATACATTTGTAGAGCTTCTCTCCAGTATGGATTCGCTCGTGTTCAGTTAGGAACGAATACTGGCTGAAGGCCTTTCCACACTGATTACACTGATAGGGTTTCTCTCCAGTATGGATCCTCTGGTGTCGATAAAGGTTTGATTTACAGCCAAAGGCTTTCCCACATTCTTCACACGTGTAAAGTTTCTCCCCAGTATGAATCTTCCGATGTTCATTGAAGGATGAATACTGGTTGAAGGTCTTCCCACATTCATTGCATTGATATGGTTTCTGCCCAGTATGAATTCTCTGATGTTCAATAAGGGTAGAGACACGTGTAAAGGTTCTCCCACATTGCAAGCACTGGCAAAGCTGTTCTCCAGTATGGAGTCTCTGGTGTTCAGCTAGGGATGGAAACTGACTGTAGCCTTTCCCACACTCAGCACATTTGTAGGGTTTCTCCCCTGTGTGGATTCTCTGGTGTCTGTGGAGCTTTGCTCTGCAATTAAAGGCCTTGTCACACTCAGCACATTTATAGAGCTTTTCTCCAGTGTGAATCCTCTGATGCACAGTGAGAGTTGAACACTGGCTGAAGGCCTTCCCACATTCCCGGCAACAGTAAGGTTTCTCTCCAGTGTGCACCCTCAGGTGTTTGATGAGTGTGGAACTGCTGCCGAATGCTTTCTCACACTCACTACACTTGTATGGCTTCTCTCCGGTGTGGGTTCTCTGGTGAGCCAGGAGAGAAGATCTATGGCTGAAGCATTTCTCACACTCGTTACACTTGTAAGGTTTCTCCCCAGTGTGAATCCTGTGGTGCTCAAGAAGATGGAGACTTTGACTAAAAGCCTTCCCACATTCACTGCAGACATAAGGTTTTTTTCCTGCGTAAATCTGGAAGCTTCTCATTAAATCAAAATCCTGTGGTAAATCTTTCTCCACAGTGTCATACATACTAGGTACCCTTTCTTGGGGATCACTCTCTTGTGAGACAAGTGCTTCACTGATAAATAATGGTTTTCCCAGCTCAGGGTCTGTGGAATTTCCATCTTCACTGAGAGTCTCCTTGGGTGAAGCCGCCTCCTGCTCATGAACTTTCTTTTCTTGTTCCTGTGTTATTAGGCTCTGAGATTTCACAACTTCTCCAAAGTTAGTTTTCCAGTGAGTACCCTCAGTGGATTCATACTTTATTAACCCATGAGATGTTTCTTCAATAAAAACGTCTTGTTTGGAAGGCAGTGCTTCTACCCTTGGCCAAATCTGGAAATCTGAAAAGAATTGGAAGAATTTATTCTTCCTTTGCTGGAAGAGAGACATGGATGTATCAGAAGGTCAATGAGATTGGCAACAACACACATGAAAGAGGTTTGGTGCAGTCTGACACCAAACATGGACCTAGATCTGGAGGGGAGGCAGGATGATAAGAAGCAAATGGGTTAAGGAGTAGGGCAGGACACAGGTAAAGGTTCTCCCCCACTGTGCTCCAGTATGGAGTCTAACAAATCAATGCTAAAGATGAAGGACTGCAGTTCGAGAGAAAAAGAATTAAGCAGGAAGGACAGACCAAGACAGAGCAGAAGACTTAAGGATATGGAGCAACGTGACATGATAAGCTGAAGCTAAGCACCATGGAATTCCTCAGGTTCCCTCACTTCCTGCTCTGTGTACAGAAGGGGTGGGCAGGTAGTTCCCTTTACTTTCTTCTACTCACAAGTCACTTTCATTGTATTTCCCCCATGCTTCCTCTGAAATAATTTTAAAGTCAATAATTTTAAAATATTTGGGCTGTTTTTCTTAAAATTGTGACTTCCCATTCAACTGTAATTTCATCACAGCTTGAGGAGGGGGGAAAGCATCTCTGTTAAAAAGATGAGATTTGGATCTTAAAAATTATAACAGCCCCAAACACAGCTGTAGCCATGTTTGACCTAAGTCCAAGACACTGATCAAAAGGAAAAACTATAGAGCAAGTCAGCTATGTGTACCAATCTACACTTCAGACTGAAAGAGTAACGTTTTTCTTGCTGTTTCTCATCACTGTCTACCTTTCTGTTAGGCCAAATGAGAAGTACTATATTCACTTCTTCTATAATCTGGAACCAGAAGACTCTAATATCTTTGTAGGAATCTCATGAATATAACGAAAATCTGTAAGTTTTGTGAAGTTAGTTTGTCCTGAAGGTCTGAGTATGCCCAACCCCAAGTTCAGCTCTGACTCTAGGGAAAAAGATTTAGTTTAAGTTCATGTTAAGAACTCTGAACTAGCCAGGTGGTGGTGGCACATGCCTTTAATCCCAGCACTCGGGAGGCAGAGGCAGGCAGATCTCTGTGAGTTCGAGGCCGGGCTGGACTGATAGCCTCCAAAACAATACAGAGAAACCCTGTCTCGTAAAACCCAAAAAAAAAAAAAAAAGAACTCTGAACTAAAATTCAGTTTTCTTTACTCAATCTATACTGAGAATGGATTAATGTTACATCATTGCATTTAGATGGCTGCAAGTCAACAAGCTATCTGTTAAAAAAACAATGGGCCCTGAACATCACAATAGGGCTCATTACTTACAAGAATGTCACTGTTGCAATTGCCCTTTCATATTCATGCAAACTCCTGTGTCTCCATTTCCCAATGTCTTACTCACCTAAGCAGGTGTCTTCAAGGTCTTTTCTTTCCATGCAGGGATCTTGTCCTTTCTGCAATTTGTGAATCACCCGAGGTATTGAAACCTGGATCCCTGCTCATGAGAAAGGGAATAGAGTTGGGATGAATGGCCTAAAGAGCAATCTTATGCCACTCACCTGACTCAAAAGCAGAGAAAGTCAGTCTTAGAAGACGGGGCATGCAGTGTGATCACTTCCAGAGGAGAAGTGAAGTTAGAACATGGAGCAAGAAGCAAGGTCCAATTCAAAATTAATACATGGTTCTGGAAATGAACTTCTCTGACACAGGGTATTCCTGTACAGTTTTCAACAACATCTAAATATCTTATATGATTTAAGACTCTAAACTGTCCTGTGTCAGAAAACTGACTGGGAGCAGGGTGCAAGGAAGGGCAAAGAAAAGAGAAGGGAGCATAAAAGGAGTCGGAGAAAAAACATGCTTTCAACTCCTCAGAGATCTGACTTTCCCCGGCAGCATAACGGAGTAGAAAAAAGTGGACTCTGAACTCAAAGACCAGCATCTAATACACTGGTTAGAGGCAAAAACCCTTACCCAGTGAGGCCAGGTTGCTGTAGTTCTCCAGCATCACCTCACGGTACAGGCTTCTCTGTGCAGAGTCCAGATGCAACCACTCATCCTGGCTGAAGAACAGGGCCACATCCCTGAATGTCACAGGCTCCTGAAAAGAGTAAACCCATTCTTGAGTACCCTAGAACAACAGTTCTCAATCTGTGGGTCACAACCCCCTGGGGGAATAAATGGCTCTTTCACAGGGGTCACGTATCAGATATCCTACATATCAGATATTTACATTACAATTCATAACAGTAGCAAAATTACAATTATGAAGTAGCAACAAAAATAATTTTATGGTTAGGAGTCACCACAACATGTGGAACTGTATTAAAGGGTCACAGTTATTAGGAAGGTTGAGAACCACTGCCATAGACCATCACCTTCCAGGATGAAGGTGACACTTGATGCTTATCAAGGAATTCTAAAACTATCTCAGTGTACTAAGTATTCTGAATCACCTGTTATGTCATTTTTGGGCAATAGTTCTTAACTATTTCACTAAGCAAGTAGTTACTGAGAACCTACTAGAATCAAAGACACATGACACCAGCTGTGGAGATTAGGGATTGTGGGGGCAGAGTCCCTGACAGTAGGGAATTAAAGTCCCAACCTAGAATTTTATAGTGTTTCTAAACAAGCACAGCATTCCCTCACTCAAAACCTAAGTAAAAGAAAGAAGAACAACATAAGTCAGAGCACACGGAGAGCAGTGCAAGAAAGCTGAGGGAATGCCAACCAAACACAAAGAACTCCATGGACATAAAAAATAAAGAAGAAATAGTTTAATGAGCATGTTAGGAATTGTGGTAGGAACTCTGCATATACTATTGCCTTTAAATCTTATGAAAACCCTCTATGGAAGAGGCTATGTATAGTTGAAGTACTTTGCAAATGGAAAAGCAGGCCTAGGAAGGTTAAGTAACCTAGGTCAGGAGTTGACTCAGTAGGTAAAGGCACTTGTTGTCTAGTCTTGACAACCTGAGTTTGATGGCTGAGCACCAACGCAGAACCAACTCCTACAAGTGGTCCTCTGATCCCCACACTTGTGCTGTGGTGCATACACACACACTCAATAAATAAATAAACAAGTAACCTTCCCAAGAGAATACTAGCAAAAAAAATGGTAGAACCAGGGTTTGAGTTCAGGTAAACAGACCTCTAAGACACTACCAGATAGGTTTCTATTCACTATGAAAATCAAAAGAACCATAGGATTTGCAAAACTCTACAGGTACCAGAGAGTCCTTAAGAAAGTAATTTCAGCCTGGTGGTGGTGGTGCATACCTTTAATCCCAACACCCAGGAGGCAGAGGCAGATGATCTCTATGAGTTTGAAGCTAGCCTGGTCTATAGAGCGAGTTCCAGGACAGCCAGGACTACACAGAGAAACCCTGTCTCAAACAAACAAAGAAACAACAAACACAGAAAAAAGTAATTTCTTCCAAAAGAAACTTAATCCCAAAATAAGAGATAACACAAGCAAAAGAGATTCTTGTACAATACAGACGAAGGTATTAAAGCTTTGTAACAATGCTATGGGTGAGTATTTTACTGAAAATCCATCAAAATGGGAAGGCTTATCATGCTAACCTTGCATTTTCACTACTGGGACTGACTCCACCACAACATTCTTACCACTATGTAGGGACATTCCTCCAGAAGGGTCCCTGGCAGGCTGGTTACAGGACCTGTGAATGTGTCATGCATGAGAAAATGGACTCTGGAATTGTTTACCTTCAGGATTGTGAGATAGGCAGACTACTAGATTACTATGCAGGTAGAGCTGTAATGACAACTGTCCTCATAAGAAAGACTCAGATGTAAGAGAAGCCCACAGATAACAGAAGCTGTGGTTGAGGTGATAGAATGACTTCTAGGCAGTGAAAGGGCATTTCCCTCCCAGTATCCATCCAGAACCAGTCCAGTACACAGGCTGACAATAAACCAGTACGAGACTGTCAGAACTGTGAGACAATCAATCAATTTGTGCTGTTCTAAACACCGAATCTGTGGTACTGCTACACAGCAAAATAATAACAACAACATAGAGGTAAAATTTTAAGGGTAACCTACATGTTTATTAATACGGCAATGGATATGCAAATGATAATACATGTTACCTGAAATACATATAGCTATTAAACAGAATGAGGTAAACTTGTAGCCTGACACCAGATTTTATATACTATTGATTAATATGTAAAGGTAAGCTACAAAACTTTTGAAAAGTTTTATATACATATACATCCATGCAGGGTTCCAGGACACTTCCCTAATTATTTTTTGGAGTTTGTGGAGAGAGGCAGAAAAGCAATCTTTCATTAATTTCTTAACATTCTCACATTTTTTTCTACGTATTTGTTTGTTCTTTTTGTTTTCAGTGCTGGAGATGAAACTCAGGGCTTCACTCATTTTAAACACGCACTCTACTGAAGAACCAGCCTGCCTCCACTTTAGGTTTAAAAGCTATCTTTTAATAAAGATAGCTAGGTTCATTTCTGTTTATGATTAAACCTCTATCTCTCAAGGATTGGGCTATGCCCCACCTGTAACCTTAACTACAAATGGTTCTGTACTGCCTGTTCTAGGAATGGCAATCATGTCTTTGTTTCAAAGGGTTACATGCCACCTATTACTTCCTTGCTATGACTACCTGTTGTTTTGACTACTTTGTTATGCCCACTTTGCAACCTTTGTTTCAGGGGGGACTAACTTGTTATGCTTGTGTTCTGCTCCTTTAACCCCACCTATTTTGCCCACCAAATCATCTATTTGGAAACCTCCTACCACTGAGCTATAAAGCCCCGTCTTCTTCACATCCAATGCTGACCTCTCACACCCTGCCTTAGGGAGTCAACCTTTGCATATGAATAAAACACCTTGCTTTAATTATTTGCTTGTTTTAATTAATTTGGTCATGATGATTTGGGTCAGTTGTATTTTTCCTCACATCTTTGGAATTAACACTACCACTGAACTACATACTCAGCCCCTGAATTATTTCAGGTCACAATTTAGGGCCAGAAAGATAGCTCAGTGTCAGAGCATTTGCCTGGCATATATGGGGCCCTAGATTCAGTTTCCAGTAATTACAAAAACAGTCAGAATCAGACTAAATTTCTAAATTGGCTTTTCCATTATGTTTTGCTATGAGCTGGATGTGAGATACCCTTTACATGCTCATGTGTAGGCACATTCACTTTGTCCCCAGCCTAGGGCGCTGTTTTGAAAAACTAGAATTTTGGAGCTGTGGTCTAGCCAGCAGAAGTGGGTCACTAGAGTGGGCCCTGGAGAAATCTCATTCCAGTTAGAGCTTTCTGCTTCCAGATCTATACAAATATGAACAAACTGTATCTACTTTGCATTCCTTTCCTGCCATAATGGACTATAGTTCCTAAAACTGTGAGCCAATAAATTCTCCCTTCTTTAAGTTGCTTCTGTCAGATATCTTGTCCTAAGAAAAGTAGCTAACATATACTTCATTGCATTATCGGTGGTTTCTCTGAGAATTACAGTATATATTTCTTCTCTACAGCAAAGATGTTTCAAAGATTGCCAGAAACTTGCAAGTAAAGAGAATAGCACCATGTTTTCTTTATGTTATGGCGCAGGTTTTCCCAGTTTACAGGACTACACCAATCATACTCCTGTAACGCTTTCATTTAGAGGCAAAGGAGACAGCACAGCAAGACTGAATGAAGAGACCAAGATTCTATTGCAATCCTCCTAATAGTACATGTGGGGACACCAGACCTTGAGCAGAAACCCACTTCCCCTTCGGCCAAGCGGGGGGCCAGAATTTATCTGAGAGGACAGAGAAATCTGCCCCAGAATCTAAGACGCCCCTAAAGAACTTGCCTTCTATCTTTAATGTAAGCTGGGGTGGTTCTCCATAGTGGCTACCCAAAATGCTGCTGGGCCGGTACTTCCAAAACCTTGGTTGCCCCTTTTCTCTTTAATTTTTCTAGCCTCACAAGGAGCTGTAGGGAGAAGGAGTAACTGAGCAATCCGTTCTCCTGCAGGGATGGCAACAACCCCACTGCCCACTGATGTCATTATTTTAATCTCCCCCTCACTATCCTGGTCTATAACACCAGGGTGTACCTGGATGCCTCGAAGAATAGTACTGGACCGTCCCAAGAGTAGTCCGACCGTGCCTGGGGGCAATGGCCCATGCACCCCAGTAGGGAGGGCCTGGATCCCCATTTCCGGTGTTAGGATTGCCCAGGCAGAGGGAGCGAGGTCCAATCCTGCACTCCCGAGGTGGCTCTAAGGAGGTCTGAGATATGAAGGGGTTGCTCTGGGGGAGAAAATGAATCCTGCCACTGCCCGGAGCAGGGGTCATTGCCCCGTACACATTGGTTTTGGGGCCCTGGGGCGGGGCCCTCCTCCCGTTTCCCTGATTATTATTAGCAGGAAGGAAATTTCCCTCCCGGTCAGTTTTAGAGTAGCAGTCTTTGGCCCAATGATATCCCCTTTGGCAACGGGAGCATATACCAGGTCTCTTGAGACCCGTAGTACTATTTTGAGGGCACTCTCTACGGAAGTGTCCCTCCCTACCGCAGCTGAAACATGTTTTTCTCCTTCCCAGAGTGGGTCTTTCTTTCCCCACTTGGGGCTGAATAGCAGCAGCTAACACTTGGCCCTGGATGAAGTTTCCATCAATGTCCCTACAGATCCGGATGTAGTCATTTAGACTTTTATTACGATAGGGGCGAAGGGCCTCCTTACAGTACTTATTTGCATTTTCAAATGCCATCTGCTTGATGACTGGCATCGCAGGCCCAATACCCCCAAATATTCTTTCTGCTACCTGACTGAGACGGTCTACGAAGTCTTGAAAAGGTTCAGAGGGTCCTTGAAGGACTTTGGACAGATGATCCCCTCCTTCCTTGGAAGGCAATGCTTTCCAAGCCCCTTGGGCCACTGCTGCCACTTGGGCATAGACTGCGATGTCATATTGCATTTGTTGCTGAATGGTGGCGTATTGACCACTCCCGGTAAGCATCTCCACATTTCTCTGGGGCTGTCCGGCCTGTGCATTTCTTTGGGCTGTCTGGCTGCATCTTTCCTGAAACTCACCTCTCCAAATCAAATAATCTC